TTTATCGATTACAAGTTCAAGTTGATCTTTTTATAAGATCTTCTTACAATGAGAAAAGTAAAGTTTACAACTTTATGAAACAAAACGCAGCAGTAGTTTATCTCCTGTTGTTTTGTGTGGGATCTTTGCCTGTGTCGGGGACGCGTTAGTCCGTGGACCACCGCAGATCAAATCCGGTTGACAGTATAACTACGCTCTTGTTTCACGAAGGAAATAATTACGGTAGCGACAATCACGACCAAGCGGGATTGTGGCTCGTCTCGAGATTAAAACATGGTTTAATCCAGAAGAAGAAGGGGGAGATAATCTCAAATCTTTCGAAGGGTTTTTTCTTTATGAAAAAGTTCGCCGAGATTCGCTGATTCTCCTCTGAAATTCAGACACCTATATAGATTCCATTGATTTCCTTTACAAGCATTTTAGGGAAACTGTATATATGATAGAAAATTTATCTCAATGGAAAATGTGAAATCATGATGACTCTCGAAATAATTCATGGACAATGAGTTGATCAGATCTAGTAATGATAAAGTTGAAGTTGTAGATGTTTGTGGTAGAAATATAGCGAGTGGTTCAAGCTGGGAAATCAAGTGGTAGAAGCGGTCTTCTGTTTTGGCCTCAATTTGGGTACATCGGCGTCAATTAAGGCCTGTAGGATTGTTTTCGTCAAAAGTTGATTTTTTCATTTTCATCAAACATGTTACACCATTCATCGATTATAATTTTCAAGTTGATCTTTTTATAAGATCTTCTTACAATGAGAAAAGTAAAGATTATAACTTTATGAAACAAAACGCAGCAGTAGTTTATCTCCTGTTGCTTTGTGTGGGATCTTTGCATGTGCCGGGGACACGTTAGTCTGTGGACCATCGCGGATCAGATCTGATTGACAAGATCAATTATGCTTTTGTTTCACGAAGGAAACAATAGCAGCAGCGACAATCACGACCAAGCGAGATTGTGGCTCTTCTCGAGATCAAAACAAAGTTTGATCCGAAGGAAAGAGAGGGAGAGAATCTCAGATCTTTCAAAGACTTTTTTTTATGAAAAAGTTCGCTAAGATTTATCAATTCTCCTCTGAAATTCGTAGTCTACTGTTCAATTGGACAACACCTCGCCCTCAGATCTCAGATCCTCTCTAATGAAGACCCAGGGCTCCTATTTATAGGCTTTTGTCGTCGCGTTTTCTGATAATGTGTTTTAATGTCATCTGCAGTTGATAACCACCCAGGCGCACTTAAGGATAGCTTCAGAATAGTTGGTGAGGTCCTGGGAGGAAATAATTCTAATAAAACATCGAAATCCGCTTATTGGGGAGTTTGGGAGGCCAAAATAGTCGTGGTGGCTCGCATGGGTACGAGCCACCATTTGGTGGCTCGCATGCATGCGAGCCACCATTTGGTGGCTCGCACTCACGCGAGCCTCCTGGCCTATTGTTATGTCTTTTTGACCCTTTTGACTATTTGCATCTCTTTCGGTTTGCTTGCTTTGCCCTTTTACGCGTGTTTCGTCGCTTTGTTGACTTGTACGCTTTACCGGCATCGGATAATCTTCTTTGACCCAGATGATGATGTTCATCATCTTCTCTTTGTCTCGATCTACGTGTGAGAACCCATTGGCAATTTTTAACGCCTACAGATACCCCCTCCAAAGTGTTTCAGTCTCGTTTCTTTTATAGAAGAGTCTGGAATACTTTGGATATGATAGACCCAACCTTCAGTCGGTATGACAGGACCTGTAATTGGTTTTAGCTCTCAACTTCTTCAGCCTTTAATCTACTTAGTACTTTGTCGAATAAATGAAGTTCTTTCGGTGCTGCGTTTATCGACTGACCGTTGTTAAAATTTTGAATTGAAATTGATGTGTAAGTTTCTGAACTTAGCTCGCACCATTGAGTTGACTTTGAACTGATCATCTTTGTCAGGAATTCATATCTGAATGTAGTTGAACTCCATAATTTTCCTTAGCTTCATATCTGAATGTAGTTGAACTCCGCAGATTCCAATTTGAGCATTGCAGTCTTCTCCTGCATAAAGTCTAACAATTTTCCAAGCAACAATCATCCTAGAAAGAGGTTTGAGGATTCACCACATCCTCAAGTGTTGGTCATAACCGGGGACTTCTCTTGCTAGGAGATGATTTTCCGTTAAAGCTTGTGCGAGGCAGAGCATCTATTTTTCTAGGCTACTATTCATACGATGGCGTCTCTAACAATTGTGGCACTTCGATCACTTGGAAGAAATTAATTGTTGGAGCAAATCATACAACAAATAATTTCTAAAAACCTCCTCTACATTTAAGATTTTCAATTACTCCTCCACGTGAAAAGCTAATAGATCATTAATTTGGGTTAAGGGTAATGAAAATAGGGCTACTACAGGGAATAAATAATGAAAAATATGCACACTATTGCATATATATCAAAGAACGGAGTTCGTATATACTCTAACCAAATTACTTCCCGTGATCACAAGTTTAAGATCTTACATCAAAAAAGTTTCTAATTCTGGAAGTCCTAATGTTATAACCTTTAATTTCGAAAGTTGCATATGCCTCAAAACAGACTAAAGATTTATATATCCAAAAGATGCATCAAAGCATATATAAGATTTGCATGTACACAAAACAAATTTCATATACATCAAAGCATATATAAGATATTTAAATTCTGAAGTTTGGAGCGTTTAGTTAACTAAGAAGCATTTTTTCCGTCCTTTTCTATGGGGGCGAAGGTGGAATAAACAAAGTCGGCGTAATACTTGTAAAACTGCATGAAGGTGGGGGGTTATGTGCAATTAACCCTATATTTTAGAAGTGGCGCCGGTTTCTCTTCATGAAAATATAATTATAGATAAATTTCTTTTTTTAAAACAGAGAAGGTGTTTAACCTTTGTTAAGAAACGAATTTGGGAATGGAGTAGAAAACTTATCCGCGCTACTTAGACGAAATTAGTTAATATTTTTAACAAATTAAAACAAGCTAAGCTACTGTCCTCGCGGAGTTGGACAAATCAATTAGAGGTTTACAGTCAGTTCTAGCAAATCCCATGTCTACACAATCTTAATCCTGATTCCCAAATTGGGATCCTCCCTCCCTCCCTCCCTCCCGTTGAAATCTAAAACAGAGGGGCTCCCCTATAAAATGGAGGGGGGAAATGATCATTTCGACGTATCTTACATAAAACATAATCCTCTTCTTGCAAGAAACAGAAACACCTTCACCCTCCTCCTTCAAAGGCCAGCTTGCATCAAGAAAGAATCAAGCATTTTCAAGAAACCATTCTCTTTCCCAAGAAAACAAACAGGAAAATGGCTTCTCCTGCTTCCACTCACCAAGAAGGAGGCTCTCCGTCAGAGACCTCCACCCCTGCCGTCAACCCAGCACCCTCCCCTGCCGGCTTCTTCTACCTCGACATCTCTGATGATTGCTACGCCTTCAAACCTTTCAGCTTCAACCGTCCACGCCAACTCCAAGATCCCCCCTCCCCCTCCTCCCTCTTCCATATTCCCAATTCCTTCATAGCCTGCTCCTCCTCAAAAGGCCTCCTCCTCTGCTACGAATCCGACTCCAACACCTTCCACCTTCTTAACCCCTTCATCAATGACTCCACCAGGCGCATACCTGACCCGCCAAGGTACTACAACAACCACCGCATCCCTACGGTGGTCCTCTCAGTCGAAGACGACTCCATGAAGACACAACATCAACGGATATCAGGCCCAGTTCTTTTCTCAGGGAGGATACCGGCGTTGCAAATGATATTGGTCAAGGATTCTGGCTCACCAATGATTTGGATGCAGTCGTAAGATTTGATACTTACTTTAATTCAGGCAATAAAATTGATCATTCAGGCAAAAAAATTGATCTGCCTGAGGAGATTCGCTGTCGTAGTTGGCAAAAGCAGCTAGGAAAGGTAATAGAAACCAGACTTGGGGTTGTTGCAATTCGGGGAAGAATGGTCCTACTTTTCCTTCTTGCTGCCCAAATTGAGAATTTGATAGTATATCCATGGACTGCATATCGGTCTCTGGATTTGGACCAAGCAGGGGTGGGACAGGGAATGAGCTGCTCACAGGACCTTCTGAGGTTCGATAATAACGTGCCTCTATGGATAGGCAATCAATGCATTTTATGGGAGGTAACTTGTGGGGATGGGTATAGCCGTAATGCAAGATTCCGTGAGCTCTACGGATGGGAGTTTGGTCCTCTACAGGATTCGATTAGCCTTCCTTATATACGCTCTGAAAGAACCCCAGCAGAGTTCACTATCAAAGAAGAGAGCGATGATGAAGCGAGTGATGAAGAAGAAGAGGATGGGGTAGAGCGAAACAATGAGCAGGGCATTCCCAAGTGCGTAGTAAGTAATGATTTGAATGATAATCAGGCGAAAAATTGATCAGATTTCTTATATGCATTGATGCGCAACAACAAGCAGAGTGTCTCTGAAGAGGACGGCACTCATTTGATAGATGATCTGGAGGATGGGACGGAAGTATTTTTCAGTTTCTTGATCTTGATTAGTTATGAATTTGGATGATTGTTCAGGTTCTTGATTAGTAGCTCTTGTTCTACTATACTGAACTTTTTACGTTCAGACTTGAGTTAGGTACTATTTTTCAGCATTGGTTGATGTAAATTTTAGTCAAGAATTTTCTGGCTTCATGTATGTAACATTTGAGAAGGAGCAATCTGTTCAATGCATCAGAAAGGCGAAATGAAGTTTCATTTCCAGTTACAAATATTTTGATGTTTCCTACGTGATTTGATGGACCTAGCTACCTAAAGCTCATTTTACCAGTATGTTGGACGAAGAAGGTAAAAAAATGCATGTCCAGTGACATATCTTTTCCTCTGAAAATCATAGCTGAACATGGTCAACTATAGATGAAATAAGAAAGTAGGACTATAACCTGCAGGAAAAATAAAAATGAAATGCACTATTATTCAAAAGATGCATCTTCTTAACTTTACATTAAACACTATCAGCCTGACCTATTTCAAAAAAGGTCAATGCTTATCACAATGGATGAAGCTTGTTTTTCCTTGGGAGGTTGACCTGCAATCACTGAAGGACTTCATCCACAATGACAGGGAGCAAATACGAGTAATTTGCCAACTATTGCATATACAGCAAACATATGAAGTTTGCTATACATAAAAAATTGCACATACATGCATGAATGCACACATGCATACTGGATATCATGTGTTGTAGGGTAGTATCCGACCTGCACATCGATCTTCTATATCCCTGGAGACGTCTCGTGTCTTGAAATTGTAGGAAATCACTGTCTGCTCACTGTGACTGACCCTCACCCTCATGTACAGCATCTGATCTCCACCATAAAATGGTAGAGGCAACAACTTTTTCTCATATAACAGGCATTCTACCTCCTTATTCTTCCTCATCAGCAGCAGGCCCAACGGTAGAAAGAAGTGCTCGTTATCCACAACCATCTGACGAATATTCACTTTGTATATCTGCTCCCAATTGCCATTGTTGTTCAACAACCACACTTGCAAATAGAATCCACATATTTTCGTGTATGTCAGTTGATCCTTACACACTCCCATCTCAATGAAATTTAAGCCAGCTACCTTTTCAGGTAGTGTTATGATTGTGCAAACATCTTCCTTAATGTTGAATGACATCAACTGATTGGAGCATTCCCAGTATACAACTCCTTTGACATAAATGGATTTCCCAAGCTTGATGAAGTCTCGGATAGTAACTTTTGCATTGGTTGAAACCCACTTGCTAGTGATTGATGAGAAGATCTCAAATCCAAAAGTGAGTATATGACGACGCCTTGCACTACTCTCGCGATCATAACGGAGCTTGACAGGATGGATGATTTTGTAGTCTGTAGACGAGGTTTTTGACTCGAAAGCCAAAGCAACGGAGTTTACACGATCACTGCTGTCAGGGATGACACGGCCCTCGCTTGTTAGAGGATTGTGAACATATAAGAATCTATGGTTGATGGTATTATTCTCCAATTCAAGGCAGAGGAGGCCATTGGTAGAGTTGATGAGCCTAGCTCGATAATCATCATTAGGGAAGAAGGAGTTGGGATACGATTTGCAAACCGTGATTCCAGACGTAGTGATTGTGTACACAAGCGTGTCGTCTTTGCCAACTGAGACAAGTTGGTAATTTGGGAGGAACTTGAAATTGTTCCACTTCTTGCAGACGCACTTGAATCTGCAAAGCAATTTGTAAGGAAGCCGCAGGAGGATTTCACAGAGGATCAGTTCCTCCGGGATCATGCAACCTGCAATTACTGGAGTTGATGCTGGCGATGATGGTTCTCCCTTCTGCTTCTTTGTTTTCATCGTAGCAGCCAACTCATCGTCGTCCATGATTTAGGGTAGCTGTGTGTAGCTAGGCTTCTTTGTTAATCCTCAGCTTGAATTTGAGATCAGTTATTAGGATATGAGGAGAGAACTGTTGTTCTGTTATTAAATTTTTAATTTGAGCAAAACGGATATTTGTTTTCCTTGAATTTTATTCAAAGCGACGTCCTTTTTAACTACTAGATTTTTATCTACATACACGTAAACTGTACGCCATTTTTTTTTTTTTTGAAATTTATCCTTCAGATCATTGTATTTGCAAATATGCCTTATTATTTACTGTTAGATTGTGGACGATTGTGGGTTGTTCGTCACCGAGGAAAACCTTGAAACAAACCTCGTTCCTACCCTCTTCTGATATGTAGAGGGGCAAAGATGAGGACAGCTAGAGAATGAATTTTGCCTTAATTATGTACGGAATCCACCAAACATCAAGGGGCAATTAGTCAAATAGAACTCAAAACTAAAATTAAGATAATTTTTAGGATAAAACTTTATAGTGTTAGTCAATTAGAATTAAAATTAGAATAAAATTTTACAGTGTTAGTCTACTAGAACTCTGACAAAACTAGAACTGGGATAATTATACAAAATTATCCCATTTTTTTTATTTTTCTATTCAAAATGAGAGTTCTAGTCTCTCAAATTGTGCTAGGTTTTAGATTGGAACTAGATGGTAAATAACTAGAACTCCTATTTATTTTATTATTTTATTTTTATCTTTTTTTACTTCTTCGCTACTATGGCCATCACCATCATTAGATCATGCCATCAAATCAGATCTCGTCTCCTCTTAGTCATAACTGTTATTTTCTTTTTTACCGAATATTATAATTATATAGTTAATATAAGGGTAAAGATTGTATCAATCCATAATTTATTAAACAATAAAATTGAGAGGTGAGGGAAACAGATCTCAGGGAGCGAAAAAGGGAAGAAAAATGGGAAAAACTTTTTTCTAGACTTGTACTATAATAATAATTTAAAAATAAAAAGGCTACAATATATGCTATAATAATAATCGTCAAAATTTTATAGTCTAACCAAAAGTTATTTAATAGTAAATGATATTCTTGTAAACAATTATCAATTAATAATAGTAAGTTTAAGATACATGAATAGTTTTTTTATCCTCGAGATGCATAAGTATGTGGACGCGTTTTTTGCGGCTAGTGGAGGCCACGAACGTGGCACATGAACTTGGCACGTGGGGACCCATGAGGTGGAGAATTTTGTTTCTCAGGCCCACCCGACTTTGTGCTTATAAATACACAAAGTCGGTTCCTAGGTTTTTGGGCAGTGCGGGAGAACAAAAGCAGGAGGCTGTGATTGTTTTCGGCGTGCAAAGAAGGCTGTCTCTTGGCTTCGTGCAGGAATTGAGGGTGAAAACGGCAGAGGTGCAAGAGTGCGGAGGCTGAAGGGAAATCAAAGTCAGCGGCTTTTGAGAGAGGAAGAAAGAGATTAGATTGAGGGTTTAATTGTGAGAGTTGTAAACCTATTTGTATTCTTTTTCTTTCTAATAGTAGATCCCCCCTCCTTGCCCCGTGGACGTAGGCAGTTTGCCGAACCACGTAAAATTGGTTGTTTGAGTTTGTGACCATTGTAATAGTTTTTAGGATCCCTCGACGCGCAGTCCTAGAACTGACGAGAGGAAGAGTAAATATCCCACTTTGATGGGATATTAGGCTTTCAGATTCTTGTTCCCTTTGAGAAACAAGAATTCTTATCGATCTTTCTCTCTTATTGTGCACCAGAAACTCTGCCGAAATTTCCGCTGCGCACAACAACCTCGACGCGCAGTCCTAGAACTGACGAGAGGAAGAGTAAATATCCCACTTTGATGGGATATTAGGCTTTCAGATTCTTGTTCCCTTTGAGAAACAAGAATTCTTATCGATCTTTCTCTCTTATTGTGCACCAGAAACTCTGCCGAAATTTCCGCTGCGCACAACAAGTGGTATCAGAGCCCAGATTCCAGATCTAGGGTTTATTTGGAGGAGTAGATCAATTTGGAAGCTCGTCTAAGGCTTCGTTTGGTGATAAAGGTGGAATCTTTTGTGAAAGACTCTGTCTTTTCAGTTTTGGATCTATTCTTCGTTCGTTGGTGCGTAAGATGTCGGGGAAAGAAGGTGCTTCGGGTGTCGAGGGCGGTGCTTCTGGCGCGAAGACCATTCAAAGTCTGAATATCCACTATATGAAGATAGATGTGGAGAGATTTAATGGCACAAACAACTTTGGATTATGGAGATGCGAGGTTTTGGATGCGCTGAACGCGCAGAATTTGGAGGATACCTTGGAGTTAGATGGCAAGCCAGATGAGATTAAAGAGAAGGTTTGGAAGAAGATGAATCGAACGGCGTGTGGTGTGATTAGATCTTGTTTGACTCAAGATCTAAAATATGATGTGATGAATGAGACTTCTGCGAAGAAGATTTGGGAGATTCTCGAAAGCAAGTATTTGACCAAGAGTGTGGAAAATCGCTTGCATTTGAAGAGGAGACTTTATCGTTTCCAGTTGAAGAAGGGAACCTCCATTAGAGATCACATGAACCACTACACAAAGCTTCTTGCGGATTTGGCGAATGTGGATGTCAAGATTGAAGATGAGGACAAGGCGTTGCTGTTGTTGAGTTCCTTGCCCGACGAGGAATATGAGACCTTCGTTCTTACTCTGATTAATGGGAAGGCATCACTTTCGTATAGTGAGGTCACCGCTGCACTTGTGAATTATCAGCTTCGAAAGAAGGATAAGGAGGCTTCGGTTGAGCCGGTAGCGGAGGCGTTGGTCGCAAGAGGGAAGGGTCCAAACCGAAAGAATTGGAAGTCACAGTCTAGAGTAGGAAAAGATCAGTGTGCTTGGTGCAAGGAGACTGGTCATTGGAAGAAAGACTGCCCAAAGCTCGACGAATGGATGAAGAATAAGCAGAAGGGAAAAGGGAAGCAACCATCATCAGAAGCAAACATCGTATCGGATGGTAATAATTCTGACTCTTCTATTTATTCGCTTTCTATCAGTCCTACAGATAGCTATTCGGAGGAATCTGAATGGATGTTGGATAGTGGTGCGACCTATCATGTGTGCCCTAGAAGGGAATGGTTCTCCAGTTTTGAGAAGCTGGTGGATAGTGGTGTGGTGTACATGGCTGATAACCGTGCATGCCAGATCCTTGGGATAGGAAGAATTCGCATAAAGATGTTTGACGAGACTATTAGAGAGTTAAACGGTGTGAGATATGTTCCTTCTTTGAGGAAGAACTTGATCTCGATTGGAGCTTTGGTTGGAGAGGGTCTGAAGGTTCGTGTTGAGGACATGGTTCTCGAGATTGCGAGAGACTCTCGTATTTTGATGAAGGGCGTCAGGAGGAATAACCTGTATTACTTGACTGGAGGTATAGTGACAGGTGGAGAGCTGGCGACTTCTGTTGATTCGACTAGACTGCGGCATTTGGGGCTTGGCCATTCCAGTATTGATTACTCGCATAGATTGAAAGAGGGTGCAAAGACCTGCAGTTTGAAGTCCAGTGAACATGTTGATGTGAGCAAGAAGACCGAGGTGAAGTGTGGCACCTCTATTCACCGTGCTAAGGGTCGTTCTGGAGGAGTTCACGTGGATGTTTGGGGGCCTTCCAAGGGGACATCATTGGGAGGTAATAGGCGTTTGGTTTCCTTTGTTGGTGGCTGTTCTAGGCGTGTTTGGGTTGCAACCAAATCCCCTATGGATAAAGTCCTAGTAGTCTCCAACAAATTGAAGAAGTGTGATATTGGCAGAAAGGTGAAGGTACTCCAATCTGGTGGGAGGTACAAGATGGACCTGTTTCTGCATTGGAGCCGAGCTCACGGCATTTCGAGACACTTCGTTGGAAAGGAAATCTTGGGGCAACTTGATAGGGTGGCAAATTTGGAGAACCGTGCCTTGCTGGAGGAGGATCGGTGTTTGTTGTCAAGCAATGGTCTGCAGAAGAGTTTCTGGACAGAGGCTTCGACATATTTGGGTCATCCTATTAAAGAGTTGTCAACTGCTGTGATTGGAGGTAAAACTCCATTGGAAGATAGGTCTGGTAGTGTCACTTTGTATGAGGCTTCGATGAGGGAGCTGATTGACTCTCAGTAGGTGAAGAGTTTTGGACAGACCTTAGAGGTATCACAGCTGGTGGAGATTGATGCTACTCCACATTGGGTGGGGATTTTCTCACATTCTCCAGGTCATTCTGCATTGGTTGGGATTCCAGCTGAGGTGACACAACGTGGAAGTTATTTGGATTTGGGTGCAGATGATGAGTTGGGTTTTGATTCGAGTGTAGCTGGTAGACGTAGTTTGGATATGGCCAGTGGTTCACCTCGGGTGGAGGTGTTTGAGGCCATTGGAGGTGCTATCAGCCGCAGACTTGATCGTGATATTGGAGAAGGGTTGTGTACTCTTCTATTGGATTGAGGTCGTTAGCGGCCATTTGGGTGAACTACATTCGGCTTGATTCCTTGGGCAAGAGGATACGTAGGCAGTCTTTATGATGCAGCCGGGTTGGATTTTGATGGGGGTGAGATCGATTTGGTGAGTTGATACCGACATTTGGAGAGTGATTGCATTCTCATTTGGGTTCTCGACTTGTTATGGATTGAGTCAATTGTCGTGAATTGTTTCACGGTGTACTGGACACAACAAGTGAGACATTTGGTTTGGTTGGTGTCGGCTCAGTTTTGGGAAAACTTCACCGAGGTGGAGAATTGTGGACGCGTTTTTTGCGGCTAGTGGAGGCCACGAACGTGGCACATGAACTTGGCACGTGGGGACCCATGAGGTGGAGAATTTTGTTTCTCAGGCCCACCCGACTTTGTGCTTATAAATACACAAAGTCGGTTCCTAGGTTTTTGGGCAGTGCGGGAGAACAAAAGCAGGAGGCTGTGATTGTTTTCGGCGTGCAAAGAAGGCTGTCTCTTGGCTTCGTGCAGGAATTGAGGGTGAAAACGGCAGAGGTGCAAGAGTGCGGAGGCTGAAGGGAAATCAAAGTCAGCGGCTTTTGAGAGA